GGAAGGAGCTCTGAATGCCTTTACTTTCTGCTTTATGCAACTAACAAAGACTCAGTTTACCTTCCTGCAAAGTCTTCTATATATGCTAGGAGTGCATGAGGTGATCTGCATAGAATTATTTCAACAATGTATCAATTCATGTGTATATCATGCTGTGAAGACCTGTCCTGCTCATAGGGAAACTTTGTAAATCATGAAGCAGACTTGTGAAAGAGACAAACATCACACCTTTAGAAGCCAACGCCTGTTGTGTTGGGAATAGCATGGCCCTTCATGGGCATTATATTCTGAGGGTCTGATGTACGCAGAAGGCACATAGACTCTGGAGATAGTGAACTTCCTAAGACAGGAGAAGCTGAAGCATGGGGCCTGGCGTAGCTTGCTTACCCCAATGATCATTGCCAGCTTCTAGACACATGGAAATGAGTTTGGGTTGAGGTCCTCCCTATCATCTGTCTTCATGATAGTGAGTAAGTTGCTTAAACTGATGCAGCCCAGATTCCAACCATTTGAACTGAGGAGTCCCAGTGATATTGAAAATAATAGAAAGTGCTAAAATGTCACAGTATTGGAAGACTATAGGGCAAAATTTCAAATGCTGGCTAATTTTGATCATTAACTTGATAGTACTTGAAAACTGGTCTAGAAACAAACCTCTGGCATGCCTGAGAGTCAGTTTCTAGATCAGGTTTGTTGAAATGGGAAGACCCATGCTACGTGAGCATGGCACCATCCTATTGACTGAGGTTCGCACTTCGTGCATAGGGAAAAGCTCAGTTGAACACGAGGTTTGCTCACTCTCTGCTTCCTGAGCATGGATGCAGTGTGACTAACCAGCTCCAGGTTCTACCACTATGCTTTCCCTACCATGATGTACTGTTTCCCTGAAAACTGTAAGCCAAATAAACCATTCCTTGTCAACTTGCTTTCTGACAGATATTTGTTGCTGTGACAATGAACGAAGTAACTAATTTAGTTAGTTTCCCAATTATCCCTCATTCGTTTCTGTCACAGACATGTTGGAACATCTTTACAGCTGTTAGCAGAAGCCACCTTCCCTCCTTTGGGGTAGGAAGTGACCGTTGACCCATTGTCTCTTGGCATTATGTTCAAGGAAGGTTAAAGGACCAGTCAAAGCTATTTGAGTTACAGTGCCCACATTTCATAACTTGAGAACGTCAGGAAATTTCAAACATCTGAGATGGCTTGGAATGAAATAATATTAAAAAAATTCCACTCACAAACAGAGTGAAAATACAGATGGAAAGGATTTTCCATTCACAACCTACTTTCAGCGTAGGCATTTTGTTCCATAGAGGAGGGTCGAAGATGGCAATGAGAGCCCTGAACTCTAGGTGGCTCTTCAGGTCTAGGAAGTATGTATAGCAGAGGGGAAGGAAACAGAACAAAGATTACTAGATTTAATGGCACAACTTAGCAAAAGTCTGGCCACCGGGGCTAGAATCAGGTTACTATGCAGTGGTCTCTCCTCCACACAAAGTCGTAGAGTGTGTGCAGATTTTATAGTAGGCAAGGCCACCAGTGTGCTTTGTGTTGGGGAGAAGTAGAGTTTGCAGGCAGCTAGGCTCACTATACTTTAAGGGGTTTTCCTTCTTGGAATGGGGATTCCATTTAATGTTTCCCACATGTTGAAGGTGTTCAGGCTGGTCTGGGATGGGATTCAAGGGGATTCCCAACTATCTTCCCACAGTGAGAGGTGCTTGAATCACAACCTCCTCTCTGAGGCTTTGGCAGAATCTGTAACTTGGAGCCTATAACTGCTCCCCCACTGTCCTGGGGTTCATCCTCAGACGCCTGGCATAGCCCTTTCCCCCTCCGCAGCAGCCTCTTTCAAGCCACACATTCAGCTCAACAAAGCCTTAGAAGATTCAGGTACAGTTCTCTTCCATTCTCCCACCCTAAAGTCCCATCTCCACAGTCTGGGAAAGTGTGTGCTGACTTTTCTAACAGGCATGTCACTAGAAATGACATGCCCGCTACCTCTCGCTGCCTCCCCTCCTCCCCTCTCTGTCTCTTAGCTGAAACTTGAAAGTTTCTGTTTCCAGGCGGTCAAGTGAGCTGCTCCGCCCCCGGCTAACCTTTCCTGTGCACATGAAAAATGATAGCTGCAGGGCTCCTCTGGGACATCAAGAGACTCCGATGCCAGCGGGAGTCTTCTGTGCTATTTTGGCCATTCCCCAAAGGACACCATGTAGGGTTCTGCACTTGGTTAGCCAAGCCCGACATCAGGAGGCAATGTGGCACAAGAGACAAAATAGTGGGTTTTCCTTAGAAAGTTTGGGTTTGCAGCCAATTCTGACTGTTTTATGGAATGACACTGGCTGAGCCACTCATTTTCTTGAGCCTTAATTTCTCCTTCCATTAAATGGAGTTTTTAATTCATAATTCATGTAGTTGAGAATTGGGTGAGTCATCATACATAGCCTTCCCATCACACATGTCTCATGTTGTTAGCCCCGACTGCAGCCAGTTTATGTCTGTGTTTGATCGTCAAAGAGGAACTGTATATTGAGAGCCAACTAAATATTTGTATCTCAAGTTCTTTTCAAATGGAAAGAGCCTCTGTATGGAGAAGCCTTTGTGTTTTGTGAAAGCTGGGGATATTATTCCATCAAAAACTCTAGTTTGTAAGTTCATAGAATTACATACAGGCAAAGAGACTAAGAGGTGTTTTTAGTTCATTGTGAACACTAGAAAGGGTAGGATTCGGGGGGATGTTTTTCATTCTGTCAGCTTGCTTTCCCTTTCCAATTTCTATACTTGTTATACGTTCAGGCTATTGCTGTATTTATGGGTTGCCACAGTCTGCCTGCAGGAGCATACTTAGTCACAAGGGAAGTGCTTTCTTTCTGAGGGCTGTGCAAGAAGCTGACACATTGAAAAGGAACACAGCAGAGGCACAATATGCCTCGGAGTAGAGACGTGGGCTTAGATTTTGGCCCCATCACTTGAGTTCTAAGACCCAATCTCTATGCACTCAGAGTCTCTTTGTCTCATAAGTACATCCATGCTTCAGAGACAGGTTGTGGCCTTTTGGTGCCGTGATGCCCAAGGAGGCATCAGGAGCCTATAGTTTACACACTGGGCTAACTGTTTGCTGGCAATGTCCATCACTGAAATTGATTAACATAAGTGGCTTTCTTCTGCCTCTAAAATTCCTGTCTCCTCTTTCATTTGGGGACCTGTCCTTACTCCCATAGCTGCTGGAGTTCAGAGCTCCAACCTGAACGAGCACTGCCTGGCTGTGAGATCCGGAGCTGTGTGCCCTGTTGTTTGCAATCTGGTGAAATGTTTCAGGGGATGGAAGCAATGCAGTAAGGTTTGGACCCTTTAACCTCACATCGGCCCAAGTGGCCTCCTGTTTACCTGTCAGAAACTTGCAATATTCTCCAAATTCTATTAGTAAATACTTCCATTGTTAAACTCGACATACGTTTGTAGAACGTTAATCTTGAAGCTGTCTGTGAACTGATAATCAGACAAATAGAAACACCTCTAAGAGCCAGCCTGTCTATACCAGGTGAGTGCCACAGAGCCTAGGAGAGGTAATTCCTCACCCACATTGTGTGATGACAAAGCTCATGGCTAGAAACTCTGTCACCTCTTGAGACAGGGTAAGGAGGGGCTGGGAGCACAAAGGTAGGCATTTGAAAGAAGCAGGGGCAACCCAGAGAATATTCCCACTCTGCACCCCCTTCTTTGCCCAGATGTGGTTCCTGATTTTTGGCATGCACAAGGCCAAGGCGCACTGCTTCCCACGCTCATACAACAGGAGTGCTTCCCATCACTTTATTTAGGCTGAACAAACCTCTCCCCAGTCCCCATGTGGCCTGCTCTTAGGAGAAGGGGCCAGGGTGGGGAACAGCTCTCATTTCTAAGATGCTCATGGGGAAGCTCTAAAAAGTAAGGAAAAAGAAGTCCACAAAAGCATTAAAAAGAAATGTTCAACCTTAAAGAGAGGGCCCTGTCCAGCTTGCCCTCTGACACAGAGCAGAATCTCTAGCCACACAGCACCCCATAGCCAAATACGTGAGCCTGTAATGCCCAAGGACTTTCTGGAGTCAGAACTCCACATTCGCATCCAGCCCCAGTTTGCCACCTTTTCTCCTAACAGTGCCAACACAACTTCTTCCTTCTAGAATACCTGCCAGGCTAGCAGGCACTCTCAGATTTGGCAAGATAAAATGATAAAGCCTAGGGGGTGGGGATAAGCAGAAACACTCCAGAACAGGGAAGGTGGCTTCTCATGTCTTGGGAAGATGTTAAATGGGTGTTCCTGCTCTGAAGAGTGAGGAGAGAGCCTGATGGGGAGCAGCATGGGATCTGGATAGCCCTGTAGCCTCTAACCATGCCAAGACCCCACCTGAGGCCGGTGAATCAGGAGCCTCCCACTGGAGATTAGCACCTTGCTCCAAGTCTATTCTTGCAGCCTGTAGGTTGTTCATCTGTGCCTAGAACTCATAGCCTCATTTGGTATCCCAACGCTTATTTTTTTCCACAGAGTGGACATCATGAGGACCAAATTGGGGTGGATGGGGGGGGGGTTAGCTGAATACTGTGTAGTACTGAGATTGTTTAAATATACAATTATGTTCTCTGTCATTCAACCTCGTGGCTGTGAGTGAATGCCACTTTCAAACTCTATTTTTCTAACACTCAATAGGGGAAAAATCCACAGGTGAGAATCAACTAGGTAAAGGGTTAAGAGGAAAAAGTCTTACATTGCCACCAAAAAAAGGCAGAGACAAAAACTTTACCAAAAGTTTCTCTGAATAGTTAGTTTTGACAGATCAACACCAAATACAATAGAAGAGGAAGGCAAGCAAGAAATAACTAGGGTATATCGGATCACATGCAGAGAAACACTCCGTTACCGGAGGTGGAAACAGAACAAGAGTTATAAACCCACACCTTACTGGGTACCAGGAATGCCAAGGGCACATCAGGAAGACCCTGAGTGATGGGGTCAACAGACTCACCTTTTCCAGGTCGGAGAAATCTAGGTCGCTGGGCTCACAGGCTCCCTGAAGAAGTACCTGGGCTGAGACCGTGGCAAGTTCCCACGGGCGGGCGCAGTCCCTAGCCTCTCCCCAGCCACTGTCTTTGTGCCCACCAGAGGCTGGGATGTGTGTCTGCGCCGGAGAGGCGTGCGACAGTAGGCAGGCTGTGGCCAGAGCAGCCAGCTTTGCCTGGTTTTTATAGGGAGCTCCTTCCTCTGTAATGGGACGCCTCGCCTCCAGACATCCTTTCCCACTTTTTTTTTTTCCTTTTCAGTTTTCAAGTTAAAGGAACAGCCCTCCCAGCGGAACAGAGTTAGCTCATGAGAGACGCTCTCACTCCAGGCAGCCAGCCAGCTAACAGACCATTTGCATACAATTTATAGTGAAAAAAAAAAGAGTAGGAATTCCAGCTCCCTCCGCCTCCGCAGAATAGCTGTTAGAGAAGTGTGATTTTTGCCTTGCTCCACAAACAAGTATTCTAATTGTGAAACAGAAGCCTCTGGAGCTGAGCAAGAGGGAACGGGATCCTGGCTCTGCTCCTGGACTCCAGCAAGCTGGAAACCCGACCTGGGTTCCCTTAGGCTCCGGGCAGCAGCTGCGGGGTGACACCTCAGAAAAAGCCCGGCGGTTGAGTCCAGTTCCTGGAAAGAGGAGGTAGAGGGCTGCGCAAGCCCAAGGCAGTTCAGGTTTCTCTTGGCCCCAGGAGATAACTCAAGATCAGTTCTCAGCAGCTGGGGACCATGTTAGAAGCTTGGAGGAGTGGGAGCCAGCCATGCCCAGCTGCCTAGAGGAATCATTATTCGGATCCCAGTGTCCTGTCCTGCAGGAGCCACTTTTTGCTGTTACTTATCCAAGTGCTAAGTGCCTTCTACTTAGCAGGGTCTCTTGAGTGTGGCTTCTGAGCTCTCAGTGCCCATAGATACTCAATCCAGACTTTTTTCAGTGACTTTGAGTATCTATGGGCACTGAGAGCTCAGAAGCCACACTCAAGAGACCCTGCTAAGTAAAAGGCACAATGGCAATGGGTTTCTGATCCTACTGCACTTACTGGCTTTGTGGGAGCCTAGGCAGTTTGGATGCTCAACTTACTAGACCTGGATGGAGGTGGGTGTTCCTTGGACTTCCCACAGGACAGGGAACCCTGATTGCTTTTCGGGCCGGGGGGGGGGGGGGGGGGGACCTTAAATGGGGGAGGGGGAGGGAAATGGGAGGCGGTGGCGGGGAAGAGACAGAAATCTTTAATAAATAAATAAAATTTTTAAAAAAAGTCACTAATACTTTTCAAATGGTAACAACTTTATCTTTAAGGTCGAAGATTGCTTCTAAGCCGTTCCTGGCCTTGCTGTTCAGCAAGTTAGAGTATCCACAGGACACATGGAGGCGTTGGAGGGAGAGAGAAGCTGCCCTCACGGGTTTATTTATGACAGTAGTTCAATGTCATTGGTGGTCTCTGCCTAAGACGGATTGTCAACTCGTGGCTCTATGACCCACTACTGAGCAGAAATAGTGAGTGATGATACTTAAATAGGAGATTGTCACACATTAGCACAGACACCACTGCCATGTTGAACTTTGAAAATGCATTTCTTTGTTCTGTAATTTCGAAGAGACTTCTTATATTTTAATTAAGAATTAGTAATGGAGGTTTCAAGAATCCACTTACCTGTAATATTGTTTGATAGCACCCTTCAGCCTTCATCATAGCAGTTGGTCTCAATTTCTCCAGTGGAAAAAAGGCAAATCAAGATTGGGCTTTCCCTGTGTTAGCATTGACTCCAGGATTCTAGAACTTTTTGAAAAAGCTACCCACTCACCCTCCACCCGCAGACAGCAAGAAAGCACATAAATCATTATGTCATAAATCACGTGAACTTTTGAACTCATTTGAACTTTCGAACCATTTTGGCTGATTCAAATGTTGGTTGTTTAGGGAGTTTTTTTCATTCCATATTTCAGCCAAAACGTATTTCAGTAGCATGTGCCTGTCTTTTCACCAGCAGTGAATGCTTCTGTGCCTCTGGACCCAGGGCTATGTCTTCTCAGTTAGCAAATAAAGTGCTGTAAGTGTATTATGCCATGTGTCCTATGAGCTATGTTTACACAAATACATACTCAATTTATTTGTAATTAATGACATATATTAGAACAAGGCATTTAAATAAGTTGAGAGAGTCTCCTAAAAAAAATCCCTGGGTGATTAATAGGGCTTCTTCTCAGAATGTTTCAGTCCCCAGGTCCCTAGCTCCCAATAATTCTTATTGTTCTATAATCAATCATTGATTCAGAGCAATTACAAACTGTTTAACCAATCACAGGAAAGCAAATGTAATGTGACCAGACTCATTCTGAGGAAGGAAACAGCCAGTAACCCTGACACATAAGAATACAACCATCAGCTGCCACAGAGTTGTATCACGATACCATAGACACATCGTTAGTGCAGTCTACTTGCAAAATGTGTTTTCAGCTGGATGTGGGGGCTCACTCTTTAGTAAATCTGGCATTTGAGAGGTCTAAGCAAGAGAATCACCATGAGTCTGAGGTCAGCCTGGGTAATAAGAGTGAAACCTTTTCTTAAAGACAAACAAACAGAACAAACCCAACAAAAAAAACTACTAACAACAAACTAAAACAAGAAACCCTTTCCCCACCAACGAAAAGAATTTTCTTCCAAAAAGCGATGAAAAAAGCTATATCTTGGCCTTGAAGTGAGGAAGACACAGACTAGGCTTCATTCTGTCCCCTTGGGCCATTTTTAATTCTGCATATGGTAATTTTATCAAGTAATGTTTGTACTTTGATATTTAGCCCTCTAATGCCTTTCCTATCCTTGTCCTCAAATATCCCTGATATTTCTCCTTTTACTTGTTTTTTTTTCTCTCGATTTACATATTTCACTTAACATGGTGGCCTCCAGTTCCATCGACTTTCCTGCAAATGTCACAGTTTTATTCTGCTTTTTGGCTAAATAAAACTCCACTGGGCCTTTTCTTTATTCTCTCATCTGTTGATGCCACTTAGATGGATGATGACTAGTTCTGTCAGCACTGCAGCTATTCTAGTATCTCCACAGTAAGCTGACTCTGATGTGTGCTAACTGCCATGTGGAACATATGGCAGTCCTAGTTTCAGTTCACTGGTGACCCTCCCCAACACACACTTGCTGTGGGACAATGGTCTTGCACCCTGTAAAGATTTGTCAGTTGTATTGGCTTTATAAAGCACTGATTGACCAGTAGCCAGGCAGGAAGTATAGGCAGGATGACAAGAACAGGAGAATTCTGGGAAGAGGAAAGGGTCAGTCTGCAGTTGTCATCCAGACATAGAAGAAGCAAGTTGAGAATGCCTCGCTGATAAAATGTACCAAGCCACATGGCTAACACAGACAAGAATTATAGGCTACTATAAAAGCTAATAAGAAGTCTGAGCTAATAGGCCAACCAGTTTATAATTAATGTAGACCTCTGTGGGTTTTTTTTCTTTGTGTGTGTGTGACCGAATGGCTGCAGAAACCTCTGTCAACAAACATTGATTTTCATAGTTATTGGACAATTGAATTTACATTTCCACTAGGTATATGATACTCTTGTCAGTATTTGTTGGGTTTTGTTTTCTCGAGATAACCATTCTAACTGGGTTCAGATGAATTCTCAGAGCAGTGTGGATGTTTGTTTTCCTGACAGTGAAGGAGGCTAAACAGTTCCAATATATTAATTGCTCCTTCTTTTGGGAACTATGTGTTTAACTCCTTTTCTCATTTCTGGTATGAAAAGTTCTGTATGTGTTGCTTTTATTGGATAATGAATAAAGAAACTACTTGTACCTATGACAGGGCAAAACAGAGCTAGGTGGGAAAAACTAAACTGAATGCTGGGAGAAAGAAGTCAGAGTCAGGGGATGCCATGAAGCTGCCACCAAAGACAGAGGTGCTAAAACCTTGCTAGTAAGCCACAGCCATGTGGTGATACACAGATGAATAGAAATGGATTAATTCAAGATGTAAAAGTTATCTAGAAATATGCATAAGCTAATAGGCCAAGCGGTGATTTAATTAATACATTTTCTGTGTGATTATTTCAGGTCTGAGAAACTGAAAATGAACAGGTAGTCTCTGGCTACAGATTGGTGTGCCAACGTGGGACTGAATAAATCTATGCAAAACCTGAGAAAACTTGAAAGGCAATCCTACACACAAAGGAACAGAGTTAATCATGGCTTTTTTTTTGGTAGCAGCATTTTCTTGGGTGGGCTCTGTTTGCTAGAAGCAAGCAGGGGCATGATTCCTTAATGAGAGGTCTTCCTGATTTAGTGGTTAAAAAAACAAGCAAAAAAACCTGTGAGGTATCAAATCAGCTGAAACAGACACTTTCTGGTCCATGCTGCCAGCACAAACTCTACCTCTTTCAGGAGGCTGAGCACTTGAATAGGGTTTGTGAGCAGTGTGCTGCAAGTTACTTGGTGGCAGCACGGGCCAACTGGTTGCCAGCATGAGCATGGCTCCTACCTGGAAGTCTCAGTGGCAGTGAGCATATCTCTGCTATGTTGGACTGGCCAGAGCCAAAAGACAAAGCAATCTTAGATCTAGTAATGTGGCTTAGAATTTTAAGAGGCATCCTGGACAAAAAAGGATTTCAGATACACAATAGGACAGATTCAGGCATAAAAGACCTCTAAATGAGACATAGTATGTTGAAAAAGTGTATGTAGGTTTGGGAGAGAGAAGAAAAAGAGTAAAGAGACAGTAAATGTAATATAAAAGAGTACAGTCATAAATTAAAGGATTAAAGAAAATAAAATAAATAATAAACTTGTAGAAAAAGTAATAGCTAGAGTAAGAAAAATAGGCCACATAAAGATGGAATATTCACAGAGAGTCTGGATTATACATATTATTGTGTTTTCTTTAAATTATTTGACTATCAAGGAGCTAAGTACAGAGAGAAATTTCATTGTATGGGCTGCTAAGCTAAACAAACCTATATATTTTAAAGGTATCATAACTTCAGAATTTGAGTCCAGACTAATGTGGTTTGATTGACAAGACCCCCCAAAAGATCACCATGAACACCCCAAAAGTTACTTCACCCACCAGAAAGCAGGAGGCAGTTTGGAGAGAACTATGCCCACATTCCCAAATATTGTTTATAAATGTTAGTTTACATTTAAAGGGGGATATGCTATAGAGATGGATAATTTGCATT